AATTTTTTTTTTACATTTTTCGAATTCTCATGTCTCAAAACGAAAAAATATATAAAAATTTTCAAGCTTGGAGCATTGTACAGACAGAAGTCTGATTTTATTAATATATATATATATATATATATACTTTTATAAGGTAACGTCTGGGTAACGGCGCCAGTAACGCCGGCTCTGGTTTCTCTCTTTCTCTAAAGGCAATATAAATAAGAATGTCTCTCTTTAGCTAATTTTTATATCTACTCGTTTCATATTAAGGATAATTTTGTGATAGTTCTTCAAGAATTAAACTGTGATGCCTATATTAAATATTTTAGATATCATAAAGACTTAAACGTTAATGGTTAATATGTATGTGCTGTATAGAAAGAATAAAATTCTCACATCTATTTAAACTTTTTATAGGAACGAAGATTGAATCAATAGATCTTTGCGCTAAACAACTTACGGAAAGAAACACAATAAGTTATTTACGCCAGGCATTGAGGGTTGTTTGACTCGATTGGAAAATTTAAAAGGAAAAAATTAGCGCTGTCGTTACAGACGGTGGGGCGAACATCAAAGGCGCTGTAAGAGAAGAATTTGGTGTATTGCAACATATAAGTTGCATGGGGCACCTAATCAATGACATAGGTCAAGCTTGTGTAGGATTACACAACTTTAAAGTTCCTTCAGAAGTCGAAAATCAAAGAGAACTTCCTGAAGATGAAGATTCGGATGATGATATTGAACTTGAAGAAACCCAATTTGGAGAAGATATGTTAAAAAAATATTGATCAAAGTAAAACGTATTGTACGTTTTTTTAGAAAAAGTGAAATTGCCACTTCCGAATTGGAACGTCTCCAAAAAGAAGCTGGTAAACCCAGCCACCAATGTTTGAAATTAATGCAGGAAGTTTGTACAAGGTGGAATTCCTGTTTCGAGATGGTAAATAGATTTCTACAATTATCAGATTTTGTTGATATGGCTCTTTTCAAAATTCGGAGAGATAAGAGCTCCAAGGCAAATCCGCCAAATATGCTAGATCAAAGCGAACTAGATGTTCTTAACAAAGTTAAGAGTATGCTTACGCCTTTGTGGCAAGTAACTTTGGAGATAAGCTCTGAAAAAACCGTGACACTAAGTAAGTGTATTCCATTAGTGAACGCTATGACGAAAGTAAGTATTAATAATCTATAATTATTATAATAAATAAAATAAAATGTAAACAGTAATAATAAATATAAAAAAAATTATAATGATTAATAATTATCTATTCCAAACTAAGTTATTTATTTGTCGTTTTTACAGAAAATTGAGACTTTTACTTCTTCGACTCTAATTGGTTACAATCTTTAAAGAAAATTATTAGCCTTGATAGAGAGTTAGTTTTCCGGGATTAAAAACTTAAATCCGTATGCCTTAAAAGAGCCTGCTTGATGCTCGCTTTAAAAGAGATGCTTTTACTGGAGCAATGTCACAAGCAAACGCTATTTCTGGCGTTGGTAAATTCTGCTTTATTTTTAATTAAAAAATTTTTTAAACAACGATTTTAAAATATTAGGCTTTGCACTCATCAACTAAAACCTACTATTTACTACTTTTTTACTACTTTTTCATAAATAATAAAATGCTTTTTTAGAATTCAATTATTTTGAAAAAAATGTAATATAATACCACACAGACATTCAATTATTATGAAAAATTTTAATAAAATTCTTTGTAAAATGTAATTATTTTTAAAAACTTTTCGCAATTAATTAATTTTTAATATCTACTATTTTCATAAAATTTCTAAACAGAATTTAATTATTTAAATTCGAATTTGTATAAAATTAGTCGAAAGACATCAATTATTTTAAAAATTTTATAAAATTTTTCGCAAGAGTTAAATTATTTTTATTTTATAAATAATAAAATATTCATTGCAGGAATTCAATTTATTAGCAGGATAAGAAATAAGTAAATATAGAATATAGAATGAAAGTTTCGTCAGTTTTGAAAAAGTTTCTAAAACGAGTTTTTTTGGTCGTCAAGTTTAATTTTTCGATAGCTACTTTTTTTAGTTTGAAAGATACTTTTTGCTACTTTTTTATAATTAATTATCGAGTGCGGAGTCTGAAATATTTAAAATGAAATATGAATAATAAATTTAATAAAATAATTAACAGAAAATAAATAAATATAAAATTCTTTTGCACATATACTTACAATTAGTCTAAGTAAATTTCAATAAATTTTTTTGTTATTTTTAGCTAAAATAGTTGCAGAATATATTAACGTAGACACCGCAGCAATGATTTCGAATTAGCAACAAGATAAATCGAAAAATAATGCGGAGGGCATGGAAAGTCTTTAGTCTGACTTTGATGATATGATAATGGAAAATTTTTCAAATTCTGGGCAAGACGTAGCAGAAAGGATGCTGGTATTATATCCACTAAACTGCGTAATCGGATTTCTCCAAAACATCTCAACCAATTAATATTTTTACGCAATTTAGATCAAAAGTGGTTTGAGATTTAGTTTTAACATTACGCAAGTTATACATTCTTTAAAAGTCAATTTTAAATTCAATAAATGTTTTATATTCAAATTTTTAAGAGAAAAATAAAATGTAATTTTATATTGTTGAAAATAAATATTCTTATAATACTTTTATGCAAAAAAACATTTTTCTTTATTTATAATCTTCAATTTAAAAAAAAAATTTTTTAATCGCAAAAAAATCGAATAAGTCGATTTTTTACATCGATTAATCGATTTTTAAAAATCGAAAAATAATAGTTGATCAAAAAATCAAAAATCGATTTTTTATTTCGACTTTCCAAGTGTTTTTTATTTCGACTTTATTGAGCCGTTGAGTGGCACTGTATGTCCACATGAAAAGGGACCATTTATTCTATTTGTATAAATGGATGTAAATTTTTATATTTTTTACAATTTTATATTATAAATTAAACAAATTTTATCAATATGAATATAAATATATGTTTATTCATAATTTAAAACTTGAAGAACAATATTTTTTAAGAAAACGTGTTAAATTTCACATATTTAGGATCAGAGAGTAAAAACAGAATTGTATTATTATTATTTAAATTAATTATTCTTCTATTAACAATTTATTTATCTTGTCCAGTTTTTTCAAAAAATTTTCAAATGTCGGACGAGAATATATTTAATTAAATATTTAATTTAGAAACAAATTTTATGTTTAAATAAAATATATTATTTGCATTAATTAAATAAACAGTTTTCTCAAAAATATTAAATAAATACCAAATTTGATCAAACTATTACCAAAACTTCAGATCAAGTAATAAAAAAAATGTTTGGTATCAATTTATTTAAATTTGATCAATTTTATTTAACAGTGAAAAAAAGTTTAAAACAAAAAATCTTAAAAAATAGGTTTTAAATATGTAAATAACTAGAGCCTTGAAGGAACACTTAAAATTTACACTCCTGCTTTTCGTTAGTTGATTTTAACTCCGCCCATCTGTACCCCCCTGACGTCTCTAAACGCCATGAACACAGCTGGTGACTCTCTTGGTTCGTACTTTCTTGGGAGTTCCAATGTACCAATGTGATCGACGAACATAAACGCATTTTTAAACATGATTTTGATTATGACAAATAAAAAAGATAATATAAAAAATCTCAATCGTTTTTACAAAAAATTTTTTTAAAAATTTTAATATTATTTTTATTATACTTGACAAATTTATATCTGTTATTTCGGTTATCAATTTGTTTCTTTTTTCACAATTATTATTTTTGTGTATACTTATTAGCTCTTTGTTTTTCGCAAAAGTCATCAACCTTTGCCTTTGGTCTAAATCATTAATGTTGTTAGTTGATTTATAATCGTTTAATTGATCGCAAGCTATATACTCTTAGCAACTTTTACCTTCGGTAACTTTTGTAATTTGTGTCCATTTAAGCATCATGCGAAAACGGGTGAATTGCTTCGGGCGAAGTTTCGATTATGTTATATGTGAAAGTTCTAAATTAAATATCTAGAAAATAAAAACCCGTCGAAGACGGATATGACGATTAGTGGATAAACTAAGTAATTTTTAAAATGTGACATTACTTATTTATACAACAAAATTAGTCATTACAAAATAAGTAATTGGTATAGAACGATTCATTTTTCAGATCACTTTATCCACAAAGATAATATATTACGAGTTTATATTAACCTATTAAGTCCTATGAAGAAACCAGCCATTGTATTCAAAAACAAACAATATTGGATTCATAGGAAAATTAAAAAAATATTTACCTGTTTCTTTGTTTTTTATTTCCAATTGTTTAAACAAGTTAATGAAAATTTAAAAATTTTTGAAAACTGTTAGAGTCAATTGATTCTACGTGGCAAAATAAGAATGTTTTGTAATGAGTATATCTTTTTTTCAATTTTTCTATGAATCCAATTGTTAGTTTTAATAGTGGCATTAATTTAGACGAAGTGATTGCAAAATTAGTGTTATAATCAATATAAATTGTTTTATTACCGACAGATTGGCTCAGTCGGATAGATGCCTGGCGTTGGTGGTCGTTTAAGGACCAAGGGTATAAGTACCCTTGGTTCGCGCCCACTTTGCTTGGTATTTTTCCGGCACGTGAGACAATCTGAGCGGGAGGTTTGACGTCGAGGTATAATGATGTGCACCGTCGATTATTGTCCGGTACACACCATTAGAACTCGACTGTCGATAAACAGGTTGTACTCAGAGAGGTTTTCTACAGTTTCCCTCTTCTCTGGCGAGAAAACCTATTGACGGGTGGTCCAGGCGTAATGCGAGTACTCCTAATAAAGTCGGCTGTAGACGCAAAATTAGGTTAATATATAGAAAAATTTCTAAAGTAGAATGGTTATGCTTAATCCAAAAAAGTATTTCGCGGGGACTCTTGTCGAAGTGCGTAAGGCCAATAGGGCAGGAGTATAAACAATAAAAAAAAAAATTGTTTTATTAATTATATTATTGTAATAAATATTGTACTATTTTTATAGTTTTGTGGATGTTGTAACGAACTTCTGGAACAGAATAGCTTGGTTGTTTCGGCTAATAAACTAAATCTGTATCATCCCACGTGTTTTCGATGTGCACATTGCAAGGAATTGCTAATTGATCTTGCGTACTGTGTATTTGATAACACTCTTTATTGTGAAAGACATTATGCTGAAAAACTGAAGCCAAGGTGCTCTGCTTGTGATGAGGTAAAGATTTTCTTTTGAATTAACTTAGTTTAGAATAATTATATTAAAACATTTTAAATACGTAGAGAAATAGAAATAATAACCCCGAAACCCTGTATACCGAGGAAAATTCAATGAGCCGAACACTAATTTTAATAAAAATACAGAAACGTGTGTTAGACTCTTGAAGATAGCTGCTACTCCAGGGTTTTAAGGATCGCTGATAACGAATCTGTTTTAAAAAAGCGGATCCAATAAAGTGGATCAAATATTTTTAAAACTCAATCATAAAGTTAATTCTGTTATTTTTAATGACTGCTCTGTTTAGCAAATAAAATAGAGTAGTTTTGCAGTATCAGCCCATTCTACAGAAACCGCGACAATGCGATTCATTTTTAAAATTTGTTCCTCTAATTTGATCTGCCATCTTTAATTTTCAAAAACTGACATCAGATTCGTAATCAGCGACCCAATATCTTGAATTTATAATTACTAACATCGGAAAAACCATGTAATTTTTGCCTTTATTTGAAACGACAGATAGACGGACTCATATTTTCATTCATAGTGAATTTCCTTATATTTCTATCCCTACTGAAAATATGCTTGTAACTCAGAAAAAGCAGTAAAAAAAGCGTCATTCATTTGAAACATTTGGGTTAATTTTAAAAAGATTTGACATATAATGTAGCCAATATAAAGTAAAATAAAGAGTTTTTATGATTTAAAGTTAATTTAACTGTAAACGAACAATTTGATTATTTTAGGTATATTTTTGTAATTTCTTTAAACTTTGAGAATAATCAATATTGGCTAACATGATACAATTCCACTTTCCGGGAGATGCCCAAGATAGTCTTATGAGAGGAAATAGCCTTCCCCCACAATGCGGAACATAAATAAATTATAAATAAATAGAAATCGGTTCTAATCAACTTAGTCATCTAACAAATATTTTTCTATGCTTTGATTTAATAAATTGCAAGTCACTGTCAGTTTCGTGATATGTGTAATAGTCAAATAATTTGTGCGCTATTTTAGCTCAGGTTATGTACCGGAGATAAAATTTTTGACTTTTTAAAAAATATCTTTTTTTTTAAATCAAACTCCGTAACTCAAAAAATATTTTATTAAATTAAAAAAAAATTATATATACACTTGTACTAATAATAGTAATATTTTAGCAAAGTTTCAAGAAAATTCATTTTTTTACCTGGGCAATTGAGGGATTTTGCCCCATATGTGATGTGCTCCGAGAAAATGTACCTGAAAAAGGAAATCATTTTAATGTGATGTCATTTTACTTTGACTTTATATTTAAAACTTACTATGTAATCGTTTGAACAGACAACTCATTTTTATTAATTACTGTAGATGTAGTGAACGCTTAAGCATCAGTGGTTTATATTGAGAGTTTATATCTTTAGTATGATTTCATTCCAAAAATTGGAACTTATATTTTTATAGAAAAAGTCACTAAATTTTTTTTCTTAAAGTGTGATCCCATGTGAGCAGAATACGTCGACTGGAAGCAGAAAATCATAAGAGTGAAAGGAACAACAATATCTACCTATCTCTTTTGCACTCATGATTTTCTGCTTTCGGTCGACGTATTCTGCTCACGTGGGATCGCACCCTTAATGAAGGATTAAGGATCCGAGCGCCCATAATTGTAATTTTTTATGGGCACGGCCCATAAAAGCAGTTACCTGTTTCATTCGTAAATACGTAAGTGTAATTACTAACTTTTTTTAAATTTAGACAAATAAACATGTACTACCTGATCATGCCCTAACATCAACTGCATATTTAGGATAGGAGTTGTTCACAAACTACGTCACACTCTTAGGGGAGGGGGGTGTTAAGCTGTGTGTGACGAAGAGTGGAAAAAATGTTTGTTGTATGTAAAAAATGTTACGAAGGAGGGGTAGAAATCAGTTCGAAAAAGCGTGACGTAGTTTGTGAATGATCCCATATCCTACGGATGTCCTAAGGATATCCGGAAACTATTGTATCCGTAGGATATACCAGGGATTTCTTGAGCTATCTTAAGAACATTCTAAGAATTTGCAAATTTCCTGATGTGACTAGGACGTCCACAGGATATACTTGAATATCCGTTTCGTTTCAGGGTGTACATGTGCATAAACATGTAAATATTACACATCTCAAAAGTTTTACAAGCATGAACATGTATAAGTTCTTTCATGAGTTAAAAGGATACACATATTCATGTGCGATCTTTTTAATTTTTTAAACATTTTTAACACTTCGCTGGATGGGTTGGAAAAACATGACAGCTCGGATTGGCTTTGAAAAACATGACACATCGAATTTGTGTTTTGATAAGATTATTTTAATTGTATTGTGACGGTAGAATTACTGATGAATCGAATTAATATATTTAAATATTCAATGCGAAACATTTGCATCGAATCCCGTCCAAGAAACACTATGCTACTTGCAACTCCAGCTTTCTTGAAAAACACAAAATCTCATCGGGGAATTCTTTCAAGACAAAGCCGTGATGCAAACCGGTCAACTGGACAACGAACAACCAAACCGAGCTTTTCAAATGCGACAGTTGAGACGCTACCAATATTCTCTACTCTCTGGTACTCTCCTTCTGTCCTCCATGAACGCATAACACATGAAAACACATCATTAACGAAAAACAACTATTTGTTAATAAAAACTCAAACTCGAAATAATTAACAAACTACAAAATCATAAATCAAACTCTCAAATTATCTCTCTATTATGACACTCTTCAAAACCGCGTCCCCAGTAGGCTTTCTCATTATCAAATCGTTTCCTTGTTTTTCCTTCGCAATTTTCGGAAGAACCCTTCTTCTTATACCCACGCAACGGCACCTAAAAGAAACTTGAAAAGGGTCGCTGACCATGTGATGTACGCTGACAATTAATTTTGCGCAAAATCATTTAAATTCTGATTTCACGAAAACCACAGCTCCTCACACGCTGATACAAAAGAAATATACAAGAGACTTGACAACAAACGAGACAGATCTACGATAAGAAAGAGACAAACAAACGAATCTCTAAACTCTGAAAAATTCTGTCCCTATACATGACAAATTAGGCAGAGTAAGTAACGAAACACTTCGTTACAGTATATTATAAAAAAATTATTTTTAACTTAACCTGGTTACACTCTTTAATGAAAATGAAAAAAGTGTATGATTTTTAACTCAAATTCGACGTGTCATTCTTTCAAAGCCAATCCGAGTTGTCCTATTTTTCTACCAAGCCATGAATATACTGAATAGAATTACAGCATTATATATGTTAATATGTTAAAAAGTACATCTTCAAATGGAACTTCTACTTTTATATATAAAAATTCTCACTAAAAATTGCCAGGAAATCTCTTATCTCTTATTATTTTATTATATTAAGTTGAAGAACGACCGACCGACCGACCGACCGACCCTAGCCGTATATATATGTATATCTTTTAAAAATAATATTAACACAAATGTATACATATTCACAATGTCACGCATGCGCAGTAGTGTTCTGTCAATGTTACGCATGCGCAGTAGTGTTCTGTCAATGTTACGCATGCGCAGTAGTGTTCTATCACTGTTACGCATGCGCAGTAGTGTTCTGTCAATATTACACATGCGCAGTAGTGTTCTATCACTGTTACGCATGCGCAGTAGTGTTCTGTCAATATTACACATGCGCAGTAGTGTTCTGACAATATTACACATGCGCAGTAGTGTTCTATTAGTGCCACGCATGCGCAGTAGTGTTCTGTCAATATTACACATGCGCAGTAGTGTTCTGTCAATATTAGGCATGCGCAGTAGTGTTCTGTCAATATTACGCATGCGCAGTAGTGTTCTTTAAATATCAGGCATGCGCAGTAGTGTTCTATGAATATCAGGCATGCGCAGTAGTGTTCTATCAATGTCAGGCATGCGCACTATTGTTCTATGAATGTCAGGCATGCGCAGTAGTGTTCTATCAATGTGAGGAATGCGCACTATTGTTCTATGAATGTCAGGCATGCGCAGTAGTGTTCTATGAATATCAAGCATGCGCGCATAACACCCACACATGTATACTCACACATATGCACTAATCACATGTACATGTATACTCACACATGTTCATAAATTACATACACATGTATACTGCTCATATGCAGATATAAACTCCTACATATACACAAATCACATATATGTATAGATTTAATAAACGATTGATAATATAAATTGTTGAATTTTTTAAGGTTCGTTGATGCACGTAGTGTCTGTTGAAATTTTTTTAAATATACGTAAATACCTCACTCGCTAATGCTGCGCTGTCTGTGTTGTAATGGAACTTATTTATTTACTTGTGTATTTACTTATTTATTTCAGGGTTGCCACAAGACATCGATTTTAAAATTCCATGACTTTTCCAGGTTTTCCAGACCATTTCTTAAAAAATTCCAAACCAGAAATAAAATTGTTTTGGTATGTTTTTAGCTAATTACGACAAAAAGTATAAAATCCTTTAAGTAAATTGTTAACAAAATAAGTTATTAATTTTTAATTTCATTATTAACAAAAAATTAAGTTAAAATTTGTAAGGTTATTTGAGATACGCTCCGAAGAAAGATGAGGAGCAAATCTTTTTAAATTTAAAAATTTAGTTAAGTTTAGAATTTTTCACAATTATTAAACCAGTATTTTAAAAAGCATTTTAATAACATTTTATGAAACTGAAGTTACCTACGTTTATTCAATGACAATTTTTTCTTTGCTAATTATTTATTTTAATGTTAGAAGCCTTTTAAAAAATTTTAAAAGATCGAAGTCGGGGAAATTATTAATTTTGATTTTTTACACAGATTTTCGAAAAATCCATATATTATTTAAACAAAATTATTATTTCCTCACCTCATAAGCAATTTTTTCTTTTACAAATTATTTATTTTAATGTGACAAGTCATTTAAAAAAATTGTAAGAGGATCTAAGGAAGGCAAGGAAATTAGTGATTTTTAATT